TGATTTTGATAATATAAGTTGCGTTACTTGGTTCTTCTCTCATCTCAACTCTGAGTTTTGTGTGAAGCTATCCTATCTGTGTTTGGTGACATGTGTGCATGTGAATGAGACACTCCAACAAGTGTGTACAGTCGGGTCCCTTGCAATTTTTGGTATCAGAGCAGAGACTAGTGAGTGGGTGGCGGTTTCTTTGATTGTGGCGGAGAGAGAGAGAGAGAGAGAGAGAGAGAGAGAGAGAGAGAGAGAGAGAGAGAGAGAGAGAGAGAGATTGGGAGCAGGGAGAGAGGGGGGGGAAGAGAGAGAGGGGGCGGAGAGAGAGAGGGGGGGGGGGGAGAGAGAGAGAGAGAGAGAGAGAGAGATAGAGAGAGAGAGAGAGAGGTTTGTCGATCGAGCTTACCATTCCGTATGAAGTGTGGCTTACCTTCATGTGTTAATGACTTATTTCGACGTATTTGTGAATAATTTCAATGAGGGAGACTTCTTGGCGCCAATGGTCTTCTGTGTTATTCGTGGATTCTGGATGGTGCCAGTAGGAGAAATCGTGGCCAATGGTAAATCTGGACGAACAGTCGGGGGTGCAGTTGTTAGTTTTGTGCGTGCACTTAGTTTACAAGCGTATCACTCTTTCTATAAATGCACATGTGCTCTCAGTTGGTAGTCATTCTCGGCAATGACTTTCACGCGAGGATACTCGATCGCATGCTCCCGTCGTATGGTTCTTAGGCTATACGAGAGTTTACGATAGTTTATCAAAGTTTCGCGATAGATGTGTTTGATACACCAAGTACACGGCGTGCAACGGGCGACATAGCGAGCCAGAGAGAGAGAGAGAGAGAGAGAGAGAGAGAGAGAGAGAGAGAGAGAGAGAGAGAGAGAGAGAGAGAGAGAGAGAGAGGGAGAGAGAGAGAGGGCTGGCTAGAGATAAAGTTATCTCGGAGCAGACATTGTTCCGTGCCCTAAACGTATGTCGGTGTGCAAGGAGTTTCTGTTCTGTTAAGAGAAAGTGCTTGCGTGGAGGGACTTACGTAATCTGTCGTGTTAGTGAGATAGAGGATTCATGGGTTGTGACCACTGTGATTGTTTTTCGCGGGCGTCATGCACGTTCGATGTCTATAACGGTTTCCATATGAAAGTGAATCGTTCTTTTCGTGGTGTGCTTTGTCGCTTTCGATATCTTTGGTGAAGCATTGTCGTTGGTGGATGTAGTCGACTGAAGAAGTGCTTCTTCTTCTTCTTCTTTTTCTTCTTCTTCTTCTTCTTCTTCTTCTTCTTCTTCTTCTTCTTCGTCTTCGTCTTCGTCTTCGTCTTCTTCGTCTGGTTGTTGTTGTGGTTATTGCTGTTGTTGTTCTTGTTGTTGTTGTGCAGGTCGACAGCGTGGAGCACGGCTATGGCGCCCAGGTCGTTGTGGTTCTGGTTGTTGTTGTGGTTGTTGTTGTTGTTGTTGTTATTCTTGTTGTGCAGGTCGACAGCGTGGATCACGACTATGGCGCCCAGGTAAGTGACGCAGGTATGGCCTCCGCCCCTCTTCTTCTTCTTCTTCTTCTTCTTCTTCTTCTTCTTGTGGTTGTGGTTCGGGTTTCTCTTGTGGTTGTTGCTGTTGTTGTTGTTGTGCAGGTCGACAGCGTGGAGCACGGCTGTGGCACCCAGGTGGTTGTGGTTCTGATTGTTGTTGTGGTTGTTGTTGTTGTTGTTGTTGTTGTTGTTGTTGTTGTTGTTGTTGTTGTTGTTGTGCACGTCGACAGCGTGGAGCACGGCTATGGCGCCCAGGTAAGTGCCGCTAACACAGGTATGGCCTCCGCCCCTCTTCTTCTTCTTCGACAGCGTGGAGCACAACTATGGCGCCCAAGTAAGTACCGCTGATGCAGGTATGGCCTCCGCCCCTCTTCTTCTTCTTCTTCTTCTTCTTCTTCTTCTTCTTCATGTGGTTGTTGTTGTTGTTGTTATTGATGTTCTGCAGGTCGCTAGTGTGAAGCACGGCTACGGCGCCCAGTTAAGTACCGCATAGGCAGGGATGTGTTCTTGTTGTTGTGCTGGTCGCCAGTTTGCAGCATGACTATGGCGCCCAGTTAAGTACCGCTGACGCAGGTATGGCCTCCGCCCCTCTTCTTCTTTTTCTTCTTCTTCTTGTGGTTGTGGTTGTTGTTGTTGTTGTTGTTGTTCAGGTCGCCAATGTGGAGCACGGCCATGGCGCCCAGTTAAGTACCGCTGACGCAGGTATGTGT